CTTGAATGACTGGTAACTAGTGGTAACTGAATAAAAAATTAATCGGAAGCATAAGTCAAATATTCGATATCATATTGCAAGAAAATGGAAATTTCTTGCAAGCGGAAACTTGTTAATAAACTTACATATTCACGATACAAACATTGTCTGTTGTTTATTTGGAACTGTCAACTAACGGAAATCTATGTGAAATTGTTTGAAATCAAATATGCAACAAAATATAAAAACAATCGTTATCATCCGTAAACTCCATAATTCACTAGATATATTTATAAACCTGTTTCCTATTATGCTGGGGTTCAAATGTTTGATACTTGAAATGTGATCATTCAATAATCAATGGTTTTTTAGATGATACGAAAACACACAGCAAATGACGATGGCTTATGTGATGTGCTATACCATAGGTATGCAGTAACCTAAATTTTTTCACATGTTTCATTGATTTGTGACTACTTATTAATACGTTATGTAATATATGGTGTAGAACGTAATACAAATCTGAATATAATTAAATATTGGAATGCTAGAAATGCAAAGCATTTTGAACGAAGTCATTTCTTTTTATACTTAAGCTGTACACTAACATTTACAGTTAATTGTAATCATGTTAGTCCATCAGCAAACTGAAAATAATTATCCTGTACTACAGAAATTCATATATTTTTGTGTAAAAATAAAGTCATACATGGTTGAGTGAAACACTTCGTCCACTGGGTAGTAACTTTAGTAAAATCTACGCACTAATTTTTGAAGACCATTAACCATGCTTCAAAGTATTCAATCAAAGGAAGTTTTTTAATAAGAAAATTGATTAAGAAGAGTATGCAATGGTTACTATAGTACCGAGTGTACAAAAAATGTCGTTTTTTCAACCATACAGATGATCTTCAATAAGAGCTAACGTTTTTTGCTTAAACATATATGTAAACATGTATGTACATGCATTTGTATATTGTATGTAGCGGAAGTTTTAAAAGAAAAGTATGTAACATTTTTTTCATAAAAGAGATTGCTGTACAAAAAATCATCAAAAGTTACCGATACTATTCAACCTAATCTCTATTTATGCTTCGGAATACTGTTAAATACTTTACTTTCTTGAAAGTGTTAAGGTGCGTAATTCGTCTGTGGAAGAAATGTAACATTTCTGGTAAGACAGTAACTAAAGATTTAATTAAAAAACACCGTTATGATGTTATATCGATTGATGAGTAGGATATAAGTTTCAAACATTGATTTTTTTTAATGCAAGTATGGGTAAAGTCAAAATCCTGAAGAAAACGAGTAATCAATAAATAGATATCTAAATAGAACGGAAAAAAAAATAATGTGAAAATATTCATTAGAATAGAGAATAAGGATGTATACTAATTTAAGGCATTTTGTAAAGCTGCAGCAAACTCTAAGTACAATGTTTTTTTTCCAATAACTATTCATTGTGAAGCTAACGAAACTTGAGGAAAGCGATAAACAAACAAAGACTGAATTTTTTTGAGGAATCTGAAAGGAACGAAGACTAAGTCATGTTGATTGATTTAGGCTATGTGGTTGGGGTCCACGAGACGAAAGTCACTGATAGTTAGAGGCCTTAAACGACATGGCTGAAAATCATTTGCAATGGCGCAGGTGCATTCAGTCATTCCCTCACATTCTAACTTCCTGAATTCCTCATCTTTCTCTTTATAAACTTATTTCACTGAATCATACTTCTCGATTCATATCTTCGAACCCTAATCTTCTCCATTACTTCTAATACTTCTACTATCTCTACCACTATGGGATTTGAACTGATAGTTGCGTGTCTGTGCTTATTTGGTATGGCAATCTGAACGTATGTACTCATGTACGAAGTTCTACATTGTAACTGACTGACTGACACTGACTTTTCTACCATGTTAATAATAATAGTAATAATAACACATAAGAACGATCTTTCCTAAAGCATGTTTCGGATGGAAAATATAGTTTGGTTTTTTCTGAAATATGCATATAGTGAACTAGTTCACTTGTTTATCAGCTCACCTTTACACTAACGCAAATCAAATAATTTGAATTCTTTAGGATATATCTCGTACAAATACAAGAATTGGTCAAATGAAATTTGAAACTTTTCAGTTTGAATTATTTACACCTACGAAAAGTTTTCGGCAATATTTAGTTCAAGCCAGTGAATGTATGTCAGTTTCTATTGTAGTGTCATAAATTATTAAAATTTCGAATAACTGATGTGTGAATGATTAAATATGAGTTGATTTTTTTTTTGTGAAAAAAAAGAAACAAATATTAATACATTCATTTTATTTTATTTATGAACACTGAAAACAAAGTTATAGCGTGATCTTATGAAAAAAAAAGACTAAATATCTACTCTTTTCGTTTGGTCAATAAATTTCAATGAAAACATATGGGATGAGGAAAATATTATGTAAAGAAGATGATTGCATACTCGCTTTTTATGAAATCTATCTGAATAGATCTATGACAACAGCATCCCATCCAGCTGAAAATTCACTAGCCTGAAATGCTGCTGCTATTCAAAAACCAAATATAATGAAAACTTGTGATGTCAAGGTATTATGCTCACGACGTATCTGATAACAGAGACTGATCAATTCAAGTCTTACATTATAACAACGAATTCTTTCAAACCTTCATTAATCCAGAGTTAATTCAGTATTTCATGTGATGATCATGGTAACATTTAAAATATTGCAACTTCTATCGAATGATTATATTTGATTATTCTTGCAGCTTATTTCAAACTTCATTCGTATTTTTATAAACTTTGATTACTTATCTTTCATCTCCAGATTTATGTAAGTAATCTCCACTAATACAAGCGGCTTGCATGAATATTTGGACTAACTGTTCTCCCACCATCTAGGTATATCAACAAGTTATCCATTTTGTTTGACTTAACACACCAATTATATCCTGCAATCGCATCACTTATTCAGGCGCGTATATAAAATATTTACACAGTTCAAAAAAGCACATTCAACAATACTCTACTGCCTGGAAATATATGTATTGAACAGAATGAACGCTAATCAAATGTCTGTTCCTGAACTGTTTACTTTCATATGCTGATTCGTATAGTTGTCAAGATGAACTGTCTTCGATTCGCACTACGCCTGGAGATGTTTCGTGATTGTGATCTAACAACAAATTCTAGTTGAATAATTTACGACAATTGTTTAATATTGCTACATCGTTTCAATATTCATTGTCAGAATCGATTAAGCAATAAGAAAAAGTGTAGCAGCAATGAATCTTCATTTGTAAGTGTAGTGCAAAAGTAATGAGTGATGTACCCTTTGTAGTCATTATATTATGGTTTTGAATAATATTGCAAACTGCTAGTAAGCGTTATCCGTATACGATATCAGCCATCCACTTTTATGTTATGCGACGGGGAGGTTGTAAACGGTGACCCAGTTGAAAACTCGTATTCTTATACATGAAATCAGTTAAATGTTGAGTAGATTGTCGTTGTATTAAAAAGATATTTAATTCTAGATAGTTTGTTTACTTATTTCATCTAATGTGTGCAGTTATCGATTACTTTTTTCATAGAAGAAACTTATTGGAATACTTTTTGTTGGAGTTCTTTATTGTATTAAATATATACCATTGAATAAAGCCGTTAATAATAATAATAATAATAATAATAATAATAATAATAACAATAGTGATGATAATAACAACGCTACGAAGGTATTGTTTAGTTGACAGACACAGTTTTTTTCTTAAAACTGAATACGTATTTGGAACTTTTACACCATTACAATGAAAATATACATTATTTGTTTAAAAACCATTCAGATGAGCTGTTTTTAATATTTCATAAAATAATGTCACACGAGCCACATACTACATTATGTTTTTTACTGCCTCATAAACTGATTTAATCTAAACAATCAGTTCACTGAAAAAGCAATCATTTGTATAAACTCTGAACTGATTATGATAAACATGTTTAAAGAGAAGTAAACTTGCGAAAAAGTGACTATAATAACTAATTTTGAAAAAAACGTTTTTTTGCGGATGTAAATCTTTTAGTCTGACAATAAAAAGCTATTTAGTATATTTTTACTACATCACTTCGATCTCTTTTGCATCATTCAGATTTAATAACCAATGAAATAGAAAGTAGATGTAAATGAAGAAAATATCGCCAACTATATTCCGTTTGAATAACGAACTTTTCCTAGATCAATTTAAATAGTTCAGAAGATAATATGATCAAGAAATGAATCAGATCTTGAAAATATACAATCAAACCATTTAAGAGATGATAAATCATGAACATGATTCCAAATCAACCTACGAATAGTTTAGAATGAATGAATTATTTTTGCATTCATATGAATATGTTTTGATAGAAATATTTGTTTGATAAAAATTATTTTATAGAATTGTAATTATAGTTACTGACAAATGTGTGAATTAAACGACAGACAGAAAATCAAATGACATAAATGTTGATAAATACCTATACTGTGAAATAATAAAACAACGAAACGACTATTCGATTTATTAAAAAAACGTTTCCTATTCAAATTTAATGGTTGAAATTTTTCAAATGATTCTTTAGTCTTTCATAAAATTAATGGAACTCTCTACGATTCAAGTTCATGTTACCAGCTTGCTCACTTATGTTTAAAAACGTGAAATTTATCAAACCAATCGACTATATTCATTTTTATAATCATTAAATAGTAAAAATTGTCACTATAAAGTCATTGAACACTAACATTTGAAGAATCAATGGGGTAATTACTACCATGTTATCAATATGATCATGAAACTAATCATATGACATTGAACAGAATATTAATTAGAATTATTCGCATTACAATTTATTCAGTAAACATGATAATTAAAAATTACCATATTGAAATAACAAATACATAATAATATTACTATTATTATCGATAGAAATTATAAGAAATAAAACTAATAACTAATAACAATAATAGTATTATTAAAAGTTATATACACATGCATATAAATATCTATATATCGGGGTAAAATATTTTCCTATATTACTCGAGAAACAAAGTAATTCATAAAAAGATTCAAATTAATTCATGTGATAATTAAAAGAATTCAAATATTTTTCTTGCTTAATTATTAAAATGATAATAATTGACGATTGAAATTGTTCCATAGATGAATGAGATGATGTGATCACTTAAAAAATGAAAAAAAAATTCCATAGCTAGTGAAAATGTTTCAAACAACAATAACAACAAAACAGCACTAAAGTTGGTGGTAGTTTGTTAATAAATTCTTTTTCTTTTGATCATAAACATGTGTACACAAGTAAACAGTAAATAACAAGTAAATAATAATAAAAAAAAACAACTGAAATACAATGCAAAGAAATGAGATTTTATTTTAAGTGAATGTTTCGTTTGTTATCCATTGAGTAGTCTTTCATATCACTGAGAAACCTTCACATGCAGCAAAACAATGCCTAGAAATAACCATGTGCAATATCAAAATAGAGAACAAAAAAAGTTTACTTAGTACTCTAGAAAGAGAAAAAGAAATTTTTTGCAAAAAAAAACCACAGTTCATAGAAGGATAAAGCAAAATAATAAACAAATAAATAAAAGTTAATAATTGAATAAATTTAAAAAAAAAGTCAAAATTCAAAAATGTAAGTTTGTGATCTATGTGTTTGGATGGTGTATCCGTTGTAAGCATTACTTCATTGATGTGTATAAGGTTAATTCAGTCATCAGTGACTGTTCAAGTATTCAATAGTGATACAAATGAGAAAGATAACTCGGTGGAAACGAAAAAAGAAAAAAAAAGAAAACATGTTCCATACTTTGTTGAATTTATGTTCAAACGAATGAAAAATTGCGTGCATCATGTGACAACATTATTTGAATAAAAATCAATAAAATCAACAAATAGAAAAGAAAAAAGTGCATTCGCATAATGTTTTTCACAGAACAACTATCAACAACAAAAAAAAAAGAAAAAGAAAAAGATTAACAACATTAATATTTTCTCTACTAATGATCGGTAGTATCATCATCTAATAGCTCAACATAATTCGATGGAAATAATCCATATTGATTATCAGCATTTCGACCAAGCCACCAACCTTCATCGACTTGTTCAATTTCTACTATTTGTTCACCATAACGAAAAGATAATTCATCCTCTTCATCTACACGCAAAGAACAAGGAATCGGTAAAAAAAAGAAATAGGGATAAATTAAATAGAAAATAAATATCGAAACTGCAAACGCTTGACCAATCAAGTTGCTGATTAAATGTTTTCCAGGAATTTAAACATTAGAAGTTTCAATAAAATTTAAAATTGCAAAACTGTTTGTGGTTTATAGCTAAGGTTCATTTTATCTAATGACTTTTTTAAGAAAAAAAAACATTTCAATAGTCAATTTGTTCATTCAAATTTAAATACGTAAGCTGTATCATAAAATGTAATTGGATCGTGACAATTGCAACCACATACTACTCATAAGTAAAACGTCACCGATTCATAAACTTGAAAAAGTTTTTTATTCATCTTTCAAAATAATTCAAATTACAGATTCTGAGCAATTCTTTAAAATACCCTTCAGAAAACTTAACTACATTAGGATTACATACAACTAAGGGTGCTTCATGATTTATAAAATAATGATGTAATTATTGTTGATGAAATGAATTGTTTGCCTCCTTTCAGTCAGTCAAAACGTAAAACTTCGTACATGAGTATATACGTTCAAGTCGCCATACCACATAAGCACAGAGACACAATCGTCAGTTCAAATCCCATAGTAGTAGAGATAGTAAAAGTATTAGCAGTAATGGCGAAGATTAGGGTTCGAAGATACGATTCGAGAAGTATAATTCGGTGAGATAAATTTCGAAAGAGCAAGATAGAGATGATGAGCAATACTGATCTAGAGATTTTGCGCGACCTCACCCATTTGCTTTCGGTTGTTAATGCCTACACCTGAAGGAGTTGAACTCCACTGGTCACGTCTTCCCCGAAAATTTCTACACGACGCTAGTTACTAATTAGTACATTTTACGATTTTTCAATTAGAGTTATGGAGATAAGTGTTTTTTGGATATTGAAATCATTCATTAAACATTGTTAGGCCGCCATAAGAGTTACACAATAAAACCTTTGGATGCCAGCCCAGTGGTCCAGAGGTCAAAAGTTCGCGCGTAAAAGACCGAAGGTCCTGGGTTCAAATCCTGCGAGGTGCAGTTGTCTGCCTCCTTCTTTTTGAACATGAGTAAACCAGTCAGTTTTTTTTCAAACGATAATAATAATCAGTATCGTTTCCTATTTTTATATATAATACGGGAATGAATCTATGAAAAAAAACATTGTTACAGATAAAAAAGATTAAATATGCTATTAAGAACTCACTAGCAGTATAATCATAAAGACAAATAGCTTTAAGATTTGATTTTTCTCCTGTTTTTTCATGTGAATTCATGCTAGGCGATATATTATAACTTGGTGATGAGTCTTGTTCATGCATTGAATTAGTTGATAAATTGTGGTTTTGATAATACTGGCCATTGTTAGTGTTATTTGACTGTTGATTAAGGTCAGAATGGAATTGATTATTTGAAATATGTGCTAACGGTGCCAGGGAAAGCGGTTGTAGTGTTTGTTGTTTGGTCTGTCCTGCAGACGACTGATGATGATCATGATGACCATTTTGATGGGGTGAGAAATCTTCACTAGTTGAACTATTATTCATAACATCATCAGACTAGAAGAAAAATATTGAAATAAACATTTCATTTTTGTATTGTAATCAACAACAAAAATGTATGCACATAAAGCAATACAAAAATAAACTCTTTTAAACTTTCAAGCTTTAACAATAATGAATAGTTCTGTACCCACGCTTCTAGTTTATGAAATTGTTATCCGGTTGTATAATAAGTAACTGTCTAGTAGTTTAGAGTCATCAGTATGTCCAGATGATAAATAGATTTGATTCATTATGATATGAGTTATAAGTATGTATTTTACAATGGTCACTAATAAATACGTCCGCGTCAAATAATAATATAAAATGAATAAGGCTTATTGATTTAAACAACCAAATTTTATGCGGTATTAGTTTGGAACACTTGATTTATGCATTCACACGATGTCAGAAAGTTGTATAAAGAACAATGGAAATAAGAGCAGTTGATTTTCACATCAATAATAAAATAACACCGATGGCGAATCACAACTTGAACTGATGTGCGTACATAACAAGTCCTATGTTGTAACTCAATGATTGATCAGATAAAAGAATATGATTGCAATAAGATGTTTATCACACAGATGACCACTACAACTAACAGTGTTATTTCTTTGTGTTTGCATGGAAGAGTTTAAAAAAAATCCTGTTACAAGTGAAACTGTGCAATACATTCTCTTATTAAGAATACAATTTAACTATTTTACAAAACAGTCAAGAATGATGAGAAATTCGCCTACAAAAAAAGCAAATGTATTCTCATTTAACATAAACATTGTACTTGGTAATAATCTAAATTAATTCGTAATAAATCATGAGCGAATTTATATTCCAATGATATTTCGTGGAAGAATATTTAAGTACAGTATTTTTGGCTAAACTTCACAAGTGAAAACCGATCATTTTTCACAGTTTAAATGTTCTTTACTCTTTTAGTGTTATTGATGACATGTCAATTAAACTATCCAGGTAAAACTAATAAAAGTGATGTCAAAATTGAGCCGACCCAACGATGGACACAATTAAACTATATCGCTATAAGCCATCGGCGGAGAAGCTCGACTGAAGACTACCGCTTATTCTGGAGCACTCGTTTAGATTCAGACTATACTGTAGTGCGAGTGCTTATTTGTTTGCATCGCACTGGACGCAGGAAAACATCTAAGGGCTCTAATTATTGATAATAAAGCTAAGAATTTTTTTCAGGAACAACTAGAAAAACAGTTAGGCGACCATCTAGTAAGTGATGACAACCCTGAGGTGGCTTGGAATGCCATCGAAGAGCTGTGTAAACAGCAGTTGGCAAATCGATGTAAGTCCTCCAACTCTTTAGGAAGTTGAGAAAGCGACAGGGGACCTGAAGCGAGGGCGAGCAGCGGGTCATGATAGATTGACTCCTGAGATTTTTAGGGATGGTGTTCCAGTTTTAGCAGCTAAATTGACTAAGATCTTAGGTAGAATCTGGGGACTGGACACAATCCCATCCGAGTGGTATCAATCCCTGATTGTCCCAATTTATGAGAAAGGACAAAAGTCTTTTCGTGACAATCACAGGGGAATCAGTGTAACTAATATAGTTTCTAAATTGTTAGCCTCCATTATACTTAGACGTCTAACTAGAGCTCGTGAAGAGCAGACTAGAGAAAACCAGACTGGTTTTGGATCTGGACGTGGCTGTATAGACCACATCTTCACACTACGACAGGTCCTGGAACACAGACACACATTTAGGCGTCCTACAATAGTTGTTTTTCTGGACCTTAAGGTGGCAATTGACTCAGTGGATCGTGAGGTTCTGTGGCAGTGCCTGTCATTGAAAGGTGTACCAAAGAAGTTCATTAACCTCATACAAGCTCTCTACTCGAACACCACTGGTCGAGTGAGAGCTTATGGCGAACTGTCATCCGAATTCTTTACATCAAGTGGTGTCCGTCAGGGATGTCCACTTTCCCCATTCTTGTTTAATTTTACCATAGACATGCTCCTAGATATAACATTATCCTCGTCCGACTTTTCGGGAGTTGACTTTCTACCAGGAAAATCGCTTACTGACCTAGAATACACCGATGACATAGTTCTATTTGGTGAAGACGCTGACAAAATGCAGAGTCTTCTGACCACCCTAAGCGACAATGCAGGCATGTTCGGGATGTGGTTTTCCCCTTCGAAATGCATAATGTTCCTTCAAGACTGGGTTGCATCGGCACCTGAACTAGTGATAGGGAATGAAGTAGTCGAACGTGTAGACCGCTTCATTTATCTGGGGAGTCTCATCAGTGCTGATGGCCTGGTGACTGACGAAATCTCAGCATGGATACGGAAGGCTCGATTAGCTTTTTCCAATTAACGTCATTTATGGCGTAGGCGAGACTAAAGGACGAGTGTACTGCGCAGTAGTTTGCTCCGTTCTCCCATATGGATCCGAAACTTGGCCGGTAAGAGTAGAAGATATTCGTAGGTTGCCGGTTATCGATCATGGGTATCTCCGAAGGATTATCCGTGTATCATTTGACAGCCGAGTAAGCAATGCTGTTAACAGGAAACGGGTGCTAGGTAAGGATGGCAGATCAATAGATGAAGTATTGAAACTTCATCAGTTGAGGTGGTTGGGATGTGTTACGAATGCTAAACCACCGACTGCCTCGTCAAGCTATGTTTTACGGTGTAGGAATAGGTTGGAAGAAAGCTACGGGCAGCCAGACTAAGTCATGGTATAAATCCATGAAGTCACTGACAAGTGGACTGAGTTATGTTGGTAGGTGTTGACTACATGGTTGGGGTCTGCGAGATGATAGTAATCGAGACCCTGAATGACATGGCTCAGAAACGTTTTTAATGTTGCAGATGCATTCATTCTTTGCGTCCTCTCAAGTCCTAACCTTCAGAGTTCCTTATCACTTCATTTTTTTCATTTTAAGTTTACCTCAATAGATTCCACTTCTGAATAATATCTTCGAACCCTAATCTTTCCGATTACTGCTAATACTTCGAAATTTATTTCACCGAGTTATTCTTGTTAAATAATATCTTCGAGCCCAAACCTACTCCAGTGCCGCTAATATTTTTATTATATCTACTACTATGGGGATTGAATTGACAATTACATCTCTGTGCTAATGTGGTATGGCAACATGAACTAATGTACGTACGACGTGCTACGTTGCTATTGATTGATTGATAAAATTGAGTATCCAAGGAGCAGCTTACCTGAATAGACTTTTAATTGTGATTTTTTTTAATTTTATCTTAATATAAAATTATGAACAGTAAAAATATACACAAAAATAGGTTGGTTATTTTTTGATTGATTTCTCAGAGTCAAATAGTTATTAGAGATAAATGTATGCATTGAAAAATACTCTTGCCATATAGAAAGAGATTCATGAAAGATTGAAATTTCAGAACCATCGTCTGGGACATGATTACTCATATATTGTTGTAAAATTCGACTCTTGGATCATTGTATTCTTATATCCTCCCACCTGTTAGCTTGTGTTTAATCCACAAATCGTAGCAATGTCATATCATCCCCGATTTATCATTAATTAATCATTTTTATATTTTTTTTCGATTTTATTTTTGTCACTTATGATTAAGTTATGTGCATATCGTAATTTTCTATTTGTGTTTCTATGCGACCAGATATATCTAAAGTATACTATTTTATGAGATCAATGAGGTACCATAGAGAACTAATGTCCCTAGATTGGATCCTAGAGGCCCGACAACAAATAGGTGTTGGCCACTCTTTATTAGCCACTGTATCATTTGGTAAGATACGTCACCGTTCCTTTAAGACAATATATGCAAACTAATTTGTGGTAATCAAATCAGACAATAATAGTCAAGGTTTGATTACAACATTTTCACACTGTTTGAAGTTTATGCTCTTTATTAAGATGTAGCAGTTTTATTACTTACTTTTACTTATGTATGTATGTATGATCAAATATTAACATCTGTTCAGATTTAACAAATGAACAATGAACAATGGTGAAGTAGTCAGGAATCATTTGAAACATATATATATATATATTACACTCAAGCTATTTGTTTAACATTGATGAGTAAGAAATATTACCTTTTTATATGTTGATGATAACGAATTCGAATTAGTTGTGGCTTTGACAGCAGGAATTTCTGATTGAACGTCTGGTTGTTTTTGATGATTACCCTATGAATAAATTAAACAAATACGGCATATTAGCAAAGATTTTTTTATGCACACACATCAATCAATAACCGTAAAACTAAGGAAACTAACATTTTAAACACTGTTGTCTGCCCTATGGGTTCTACAATTACTGTAGGCCAATTAACACACACATTCTTATAAATTCAAAGATAAATCCAACAATAATGTGGAGTTACTATTTTGTATCTTACAGCCCAATTATTATTTTCATTAAAATTCTTGCGAATTCGTAGTCGCTGCATGTAGATATTCCTGAAGTTAAACGATCCGGAGTTGATTTACTTTGATTTAGACTTTAGGACGAAAAGTAGTAAAGTCACATTCACTTTAGGACTAGATTGCGGGCAACTAGAGTGTGACTGTTTTCTAGCTGAATCACTTTTCAATGTTGTCGAAGTAAGCCATTAATGTCAGTGCTTTCTCTTTCCTTTCACAACTTACTACCAGTGACCGGTGTTTAGCTTGTACCCAGTGTACCTGTATTTTATCTATACCAGAGCGTGTTTAGATCAGTTTTCGAAGGACAGTCCACATCCTACAAATGGATCATCATGAGGAGGAGAACACTAAAAGAGAGGTATTTTTCAGTTGCACAGTACACAAGATATCTGGTTGAAACTGAACTATCAAAAAAAGTTAACTACAATTAACTGGACTTACGATTCAAAAAGGTTACTTTGCAATGAGAATGTACAATTCTTCCATCTCTTTTCATCCACTTATTTTGACTGAATTTCATCGGATACAATAATGCTACACTCATTCTACACTTATGCAATTAAATTAACTCATAACCATCTAAAGATCAATTTGAATCTAATGTGGATTTCAGCTTAACACCAGTAGTCAAATAATAAACACTGCAAGGTTTATTAAAATACAACTTATTAATGTCAGTAATCTTAGAAGTGATTTTTCATTCATGAGTTAACTGTTTCAAACATTTATACAAAATAAACGTATCAGGCAGTAAGAGTAACAAACAAAAAATTTAATGAGAAATCAAAACACTTACAAAAGGTTTATTGCTAATGAATGTATATTCTTCAGATTGTTTACATGCACGAGCTGCCATAATTTCAGATTTTGGATCTAGCTTCTTATAATTTGTGCCCTAGATACCACAGAAAAGGATAAACTGCTGTAAATATATATATATATTTATATCAACCCTAATTATAAAAATAACATTGCTTTTTGCCGTAGACAACTTAAAAATTAAAGTGAATCTAAGATGAGTATTTAAATAATTACAACAAGAACCGTAATGTAAGAGCTAAAAGTTCACAACAAACGATCATACAAAATGGATGGAAAGATTATTGGAATAAATTTATCACTTGTATAGGAAAATAATCAAACCAGCTGTTTTATTTTCTAATAATCGAAAACAATTTCAATTTAATAAATCCTAACGGAACATGTAAACCTACTACTGGTCAGTAGATTTTAGTGTGACAATTTTAGTTATATGTAAAGTCATCAATACTGAAGAATAAAATAATGACATAAAATAATGACGATATAACGAGTCTCTAGAAAAAAAGATCCAAAATTTAAATGTGTCCTATGAAACAAGCCTAGAAAAGTACTCAACGTTTTCAATTATCTACCTAATTTATTAGGTAAAACACAAACGCATGAATGTCACATTTCTATGAATGACTTAAATATTTTCAATTAAACACAGTATCTTTTAGGTATCAAGTTTTAACATGAACAAATGTTTTCAATTAGAGCTTTGGAGATTTGTGTTTCTACACATTTTAAATCATCAGTCAGTCATTGTAAGACCACCATTATAAACCTAGAAGCCGTTGGATGCCGGCCCAGTGGTCCGATGGTTAGGCGTTCGCGCACAATACCGAAGGTCCCGGGCTCGAATCCTGCGAGGTGCATGAGTCATGGATGCGCACTACTGATGAGTCCCATACCAGGACGAAACGGCCGTCCAGTGCTTCCAGGTTTCTAACCGTTCTCTAACAATGATTGATTGATGATTTCAAATGTGTATGAACAAATGTTATGACATGTTAAAATAATGATGTCACTTTGGATCATCCAAAGTTTTATTAGACTATAATTTAATTTTCTAATACAGTAATTTCAATTTCCAAAATAAATATATCTATACAAAGAATATCGTAACTAGTATTAATATGCTATGGTGAAGGTTGTCACATCATAATGCAGGTGGGAACAAGAAAGTAAAAGGAAGGTAAAAATAGAAAGTATATTATCATAATCATATTCAAGACTAAAAATATTTTCCGACATGGATAGTAGAGTTATTATGAGAACTGGACACCAAAAAAACCATAAAATATCACAAACTATCAGTTTAATTAATACATACACTGGTCTGATGACTTTTAGAGGCTATACGTAAGTTTATTGATGTAATACATTTCCATCAGATGGCACAAAAATGGTTAATTACTATTGACAGTATTGAAAAATAGACTATTTTACTCACATAACTTTAAGAAAAAAAGGTTAAAATAAAGTAAAACTACCAACTATACCCAAGTAACGTAAATTTTGGAAGATATTAGAATGACAGATTGAGTAGAACAGTAATTAGAGACATTCAACAAAATGCCTCCGTTTATCACAAATCGCATGAGTTGTTTAGTGTCATTCAATCTCAGACAACAGCCTAGTGAAATTAATTCCAACTGTATGAGTTTTGTTTTATCGATGGATACGATACTAAGGCTTGGGAGATAGCAATGTGTCGTGTAATATTTGAATACTGGAACGATGAGTTATGATCATCCTCTAAACCAGTAGATGGAGTAAAATGCAGCGTCCGAACTAGCGAAGGATGTAAAAGATATGAAGTTAGTGAAACAAACTTGTACTAAAAAGAATAAAAATGGTTGGTGAATCAATTAATTATGACAAAAAGGAAGAGTTTAGGTTTTGCTATAGATTAATCTGTTTGTAATTCTTCCAAATTGCCTACAATATATTTTATTAATAAAATCAATGAAGATACTGAATTATTATCCATTGACTACAAAGTTTGAATGCCGACTATCAGGTAAATAATTGAAAACGTTGGCAAAGGTTTGGTTACTATAGTTCTGTGAAGTACTCATCAGAGATAAATCAGCGTACGAACTAAAGTGCTTTTTATACTAGAAGTTAAGCTGAAAAATTTAGTGGTATTTATCAACATTTTTTTACCGCTTTTAATCTTATCAAATAATTGTTCCGTATGTCGCATTTTTGAATGGAATTTTCCACAGGCTGGTTCAGTCTAAGATAAGTAAGTCGACTAGAAAAGTGTGCACAATAATAGGAGATTACACTACAAATAGAAGGTTGTATAGTGTGACCGTAGAGTTGGAGAAGAACAAAAAGATGAATTTAATTTACAGATCAGAACAATGAGATATAATTATCAACTTAGTAGATATGAAGAAACAATAATCCCTCATATCTCCGTGACCTGAATTCGATTCTTCAGTATGTTTTGGTATTGTTTTTGTTTTTATTATTATTTCGTACTCGTTAAACCTCATTTAGTTATTATTAAATAATAATCAGAATAAATTTTTATGATCATTAGTCAATTATTATTATGACCTTTAATTATTTTGTTTCTTCTTCATATCTGTTCAGTGGACAATTGTATCTCATAGTTTTGACAAGTAAATTATTTTCATCCTCAATTCTCCTATTTTAACTCCTTGATCATTATGTAACCTTTTGTTCATATTCGAAATCTCGGATCACATTGTGGTGTAACTTTTTCCATTCTTTTATTGACTAATGCATCAGTACCAATAAACGGGCCAAGTAAATGATTTAGGCAAAATCAATAATCTCTTCAGCTGATTCCTTTTATTTTTATTTTATAATTAATACCACCAGGACCCCTAATCGGAACTCCCTATTTAAAGACAACTGAGAAGAAAGAGCGCTGAGAAATAAGGTTTAACCAAACTCAATGTTACCTAATTAAAATCTCTTAATAAATAGAAGCATAATATGTAAGGTCTAATCACTTCTTGATGTTAATATGGAAGACTGTAACAGTTCAGTCAACAAGAAGTTTTAAACTCTTAATACCACCTTCATAATCGTTAAGAAAGTTGGTGATTATCTCGATTAAATAGCTCAGTGATTAAAACGTTTAAGCTCGAAGTATTAGGCGCGGGATTAAAGTCTCAATATCAACACCGTTATGTAGATAGATTTAACTGATAGATCACGAACAGGACGAAAAGTGAAACTTAGATTTCACTATAAAACGTAAGCTCATAATAAATAAGACACTCAAATACTATACTTCATTAATAGGGAAACGTCCCAAGATGATTTAGGAAAGCAATTGCAACACACTACTAAACACTTACATATTACTTTTCAAACACATTTGTTGTATTAAATTAAATTGAACTATTCAGTTAAAGAGTGAAGTTGTTTGGATATCACTGTTTAAATACTTAGTTCATTTATCACAAGACTTATCAATACTGTAAACGATCTGAAAAAATTATCTCCTTGTACTAATGAGGAATGACAATTTAAACCATTATTAACATGTATCAAGTTCTATATTACAAAAGATTAAATGATTGACTATTAATTCTGCACGGTCCTCCAATACACATAGAGAGTGAAAACTGAACCGACTGAACATGGCTTTTTTTGTCAGACCGAAACATGGCACAAATCCATGAAATCACGGACAACTGGACTGAGCCATGTTGGCAGGTATAGACTAACTGTTTGGGGTCCGCGAGATAATAGTTGCCGATGCTTAGAGACATTCAATGATATGGCTCAAAATCGTTTACAATGGCGCAGATGTATCCATTCTTTGTCAGATTCGGTAACTAGTTCTTCAAGCTCAAAAAACGAATATATTGTACGTGGAGAAATTACCATCCTACCAGAAAAACTAAGGAATCACTTTTAAACATTTTCAATATTCTAATATTCAAAAATAAACAAAAAACACATTTGAAGATTAATCATGATCAACATAGAATAACAATGATGCACATCAACAAAATATTTAGTAAAATATTTAAGTAGACAAATAGTGGGTAAAATGAGTATGAACATTGATAAACCTTGAAATCTTTTTCAATCTCTCTTTCACACAGATACATACACACATACGGTAACACATGTGTCAATCTCCAAATGTTTAGATGAAACAAATACCTGAGAATATTTATCACGAGCACAGGAAGTAAGTTACACTTAGAAAAATGTTTTCATTGAATACATTAAAGACAGTAGAGAGAGAGAGAGAGAGGAACAATACATAATAATGCTTTATGATATACAGATGTATATATAAATATTAACCGGTCAGTGGCTTGAAACACGAATAAAGATCTATCTGGTTATCGATCAGTATCTACGAAATCCTAACGAACAACTTTTTGACCACAACTAAACTCAGTGTGGGATAAAAACCCGTAGGAAAACATAAATAGATAGTATTACGGTGATGCTAGATTAAATGGTAGAGAAACTTCTTTCTTTTTGTCACGACAACAAGTCCAAAAACCAAAAGGTTCATCTACCAAGTTTCCAAGATATTGTTATGTAGATTAGTTTGTCATGACCATCCGATTATTCTATCTAGTTGTCACGGTAGTTGAAGCTATAACAATTAAATGACAACCAGTAAGTAGCCTTACATTCAGTCCCACTTCTCTAAATATTGATAAATATTTAGAATTTAGATGATTTAATAACTAAAATTCTGAATTGCCCAATGACTTAAAGTAAGTTTCAACGTATTAGAATACAGATAAGTATCTTTTAAAAGTACCAGCCATTAATTGAGTGTTTTTTTATAGAACTCTTATTTAATTTAGCACGCAAACACAAACTAAGATTTATAGCATCTCAATAATTTGTTTTACAATCACACTTATTGAGTGGTAATAATTTATATATGGATTGAACATGAAATATAATTTCAACGTGACCAGGTTTACAGTATTTTCCCCTAAACCATTGGAATGTGGTGTTTAAACAGATGATTATGATTATACGCTTCTTCGTGTCAAAACTGGATTAGACAAAGAAATTGGTAAGAAACAAGAAAGAAGACATAATTACAAATTTATGTTAAACATAAGATCAAGTGAACAGGTTATATAGTAAAAAACAACACTTAGATTTTTAATTTTAAAAAATCACACATGTGATGGAATGAAATGAAGGAGATTTTAAAGTGGGTAAATAAAGCACAATGACATTTTACCATACAGTATTAATGAGAAATCCAACATTAATTCCGGCAAGAAGCAAAGTTGTCACACTTCACAACAGCGAATCAAGACAACAAATGAAAAGTAACGAGAAAAATCAAATAAATATTAGTATACCATTGAAAATTAACTGTAAAAGGTCTATTGAGATGGGCACCAAATTGATATAGGTAATATTTTATAACTTATTTATAAAGTACACTTCTCTGTTTCACTCTTTGAAAAATTCTAACAATACAACCTGAACTATCAAATTTAAGGTAGGTAAAACAGGGTTCGAATCTGTGGTCGATTTATTGAAGCCATCTCTCGACCATGTTTAATTAATGAACAGATACCTATTGATTATAGTAAAGTAAGAGATGAATATGTCATACACGTAATGAGGAATACATCATTCTTTAAATATAGATATATCAAAATAACATAATTCGCACACATCAATCAGTTATCATCAATGTAGAACCTGACATAGATTTAGGGTAGTCCTTGTTATCATACAACATAAGCACAAGAAGAATGGCAAAAAGAGTAGGAATAATCTAGAGGCAGTGACAATGACAAAAACTGAATGTTGGGAATATAGTTTGAAAAGACAAAATGAGAAGGTACATACAAGAAGGAATAGTAGAATTCAAGATAGGGAGAAAGATAAAAAATTTAATGCATCCATACCAATACGTTATACACAGTCTTCAACTACTGATCATGGTTATCACGCGAACTGCCAACGCAGCTCAAATAAATAGATGCCATTTTAGCATATCCATCAGTCAACTCTTACTACACTAACCAACATCAAACGTCGAGGAAGGCGTGATTAAGGATACGTAACACATGTCTCAACTACTTGAATCGATTGAGATTTTACAAAGGAAAATCTGTACATTCATCTGAGTTAGACATTGACACCGTTAGATGTCAGCCCAATGGTCCAGAGATTAGGCGTGAGACCGAAGGTCTTGGGTTCGAATCCTGCGAGGTGCGGGAGTCGTGGATGCGCACTGCTGATGAGTCCCATACCAGGACGAGACGGCCGTCCAGTGCTTCCAGGGGTTTCTAATGGTGCTCTAACAATGATTGATTGATGATTTCAATGTGTAAGCTTTTACAAACTTACCAACGGATTAGCAACATTTCTTTAGCATTTTCTGCATAAACTCGATATCGCTTACTAGATGATTCTTCGAAAAATGATCGAAAACCTAAAACTTATGCATATTTTCTACATTCAACGACCACGTGCATATGATGAGGATGTGTACATATGGCTCATAAAAACGATATTTTATCGATTTCTCTATCAAATATATATTTTCATATTTTCTACTGGAAAAATAATATTCACAACGACCAGATACCAAATTGTTACAAAACAAAGCAACAACAACAAAAAAGTTGACAATCCCAAAATGTTTGATAAGACATTTTAGTTTCAATAGAAACGGCAAACCAAAACATCAAAAAAATAACAAAAAATATGGAATTCCAAATAGAAAATAAAACTTTTATTACCACAGGATTAGCATCGTCTTCATCATCATCTTTACCATTTAGAGATGACAATTGTTTTGCAAGCATAATTTCTGCACGTGGATCAACTTTTCTATAACTTGAAGTCTAATGAACAACAAGAAAAATAATAATAATAATAACAATAAATTTGATTAGTCATATGTTGTAAATACATGAGAATAGCTTAATCATGTATACAGAAATTTCAAACTATATGATACTTTGGAATAAAACTCTGAATAGTTTTGCCCACTACTGGGTTGTCTGTCATAAAATAATAATGATACATTTTATAGTCAGTTGCAGTTTTTTTCCCTAATAATAATGTAACTTTTTAACTGATATGACGGAACAAGGATTAAGGTTTGATAGTAGGAATTCATTCCATTGGAGAGTAAATGACCTACAGCTCGTATATTTTGCGATAGTTTATTTTGTCAACTGAAAATTTCTAAACAGGCTAATTTTGATGTTCAATATTTTGTACAGAAGAGTATTATTTTGTTAGAAGAAAACCATCCTACTAGGCAGCTGTATTTTTGTCTGACATCTGTTCAATTGGGGATTAATATCATAATAATCCGGTCTAGTCAAAGATCATCACTCAATCACAACGCATATTATGAATTAAATGACAGATTTTATCCATAATAAATAATGATAATAGCAATAATAATAATAATAATAATTCTTGACATGACAAGGGTATTACAAAAGAGTATTTTGCAGTTCATAAACATATTACTCCGATTTTTTCAAGGCCATAAATGCCTTAGTAATTTTTTTAACCAGAAGAAAGTTTACTTATTAATCAAATATACTTAATCTTCGGTATCCGTTACATGATATAAACATATAAGTTCGTTTCACATTTTTTTTTCCGTTTGCAATGGCACAGGTGCATCCATTCTTTGTGTTCTATGAAATTTTAACCTTCTGAATACCTCATCACCTCTATCTTTCTCTTTCTAAATTTACCTCACTGAATTATACTCCGTGAATCATATCTTCGAACCCTAATCTCTCCGATTACTTCTAATACTTTTATTACCTCTATCATTATGGTATTTGGATTGACAATGGAGTCTCAGTGCTTATAAGGTATGGCAACTTAAACTGATATACTTACGTACGAAGTTCTACGTTGTAACTGACTGACTGACTGACTTCACATTTTCGTGTTCATCCAAGATTTATATAAATTTAGTTGAATATCGTATAAAATAAAATTACTGTAAAAGGAAATTTTTTTAATTTGCTTTTTGCTTCTCTAAAATCTGATTGACCTCTTGGAATTCAAGTTATGTTTTAGTTATTATCCATTTAGTGAAATAAAACTGACAGTTTCACTTATATATATCATACCATGGGTAATGCTCATTTTGGAGACTTTCCTAGCAATAAACTTTCATACTACTTATTTATTAGTTAAGTAATCTAATCTTATTGTATAAATTACTTGACAGTTGAATGAAATTCGTTTAGACACAAACCATTACAGAAGCTAAATTTGGTACGGATATGAATATGAGCATACATTATTCATCATCAATAATAGTAATGAGTCAACTGCTTCACATAAAAAGATTACGAGGTCTGGTATATAAAAGGCGTCGTAGTTTTAATTATTTTAAAAAAGCAATGGCATTAACTGTGACGCATATCTTTAAATGTATGCTATAGATAGATGAAGGTGCCATGAAGAACATTTATAAAATCACATTCTGAGGATAAAAATATGCCTACATAATCAATGCATTTTATTCACAGACAGACTTCAGACAATCTAATATTAGTTGGAATGCAGTAAAAATATCACTATACTTTTCTTAACACAGAAATAGGTATCAGTTCTGAGAAGAGACAATTAGAAGACATATGGTCGTGAAGTAAGGAAACTTTATATCACTACATCAACAATGGTTTCCTACTTAGCATGATTAACTGTACACGTTCCATGCAGAAATCCAATGAACGAACAGTAATAAATACAGCTTATATCCACAGTTATAGGCACGTCACGTATGGCCTAGGCAAGATATCCATCTGCCAATCAAATGACGAGTCTATTGCGCAGCATTTCAATCCATCCTACTATACGGGTGTCAAACATAGTCAGTCAGTAGGTTTCTGGTTTTCGATCACAGCTGTCTTCAAAACATTTCTCGCATATACTGGGACAACCGACTAAGCAATGCTGTTGATAGGAGACGGGTACTAAGTAAGGATGGAAGATCAATTGATGAAGTAGTGAAACTACTTCAGTTGAGATGGTTGAGACATGTGTTACGAATTCCCGACCACCGACTGCCTCGACGAGCTACGTTTTGTAACGTAGGGGTAGGCTGGAAGGAAGCTAGAGGCGGCCAGAAGAAAATATGGCACAAATCTATGAAGTCACTGACAAGTGGACTGAGACATGTTGGTAGTTGGTAGTCTAGTTAGTTGAGGTTCGCGAGACAACAGTTACCAATGGTTAGAGACCTTGGATGACGGCTCAAAACTGTTTTCAATGGAGCCAAGTCAACTTTACTATATGAAGCAAACGGACACGTTGCTACCCATTTGTACATCTGGACTCAGTCAGTCAATCAGTTGAAACGTAGAACTTCGTACGCACGTACGTACATCAGTTCAAGTTGCCAAGTTGGATTTTCTGAATCCATAAATCCGGTTTAGGCACCGGACATTCGCTTCTTATCCTCTCAGTTTCGTAAACAACACGACTGCCACGAGGAGGCAATGAGTAGGACTTCCCTGGTAGTGGCTATTTACGCATGGCAATAAGAGAGCTTTTCGAGAGAGAGGACTAGCCCCACTCTCTACTGTACCAGGGTATTTGGGGTTATACACGCTTAAGACCTAATTGTTTTCAGTCAGTCAGTCAGTCAGCTATAACGTAGAACTTCGACCGTATGTACATTAGTTCAAGTTGCCATATCACATTGTTTAAAACTAACTGTTTTTACCATCAAGTCACTGTTCACAAATTCGAATTCTGCTCACTCTAATTCGTTTTAAGGATCTGGATACTATTTCTAACTCTAAAATCAGATGGCTAGCTCAAATTTAAATAAATGAAAGTGTAATTAGTGATTAATTTACATACATTGAAGTGAACAATTATTGAGTTTGTCGGAGCGTGGCGTGACTTCTATTGACGTTTTCACCACAACCGTAGTGTCAGTATAAATATGAGTGTCATAGTTACTCTCCAAATGAAGTATAAACATATCTAAACCAACCGAATCGAAATAGGTGTGCTGGGTTTAAGGCCTACAGTTCAATAGATAAAATTCGAATACCTTACTAACTGTTCCGATGGATCATCTAATTAGGCTATGATGTTAAGTTTATGACATATATTACTAAGATATATATTTATGCATATAAACTTCCAGCTGTTCCGAAGTTCTTTTCTTTATGCTATTAATTAAATTCCTGGAGCAATGTGTTCTTTGGTCTGCCTCCAGTTTTTGCCTTGAGGATTCCATTCTAGAACTTACTTTTTCATCAATTTGATGATCTCCACCATGTTTATCCTATAGGCCTCCAGCATCTTTCCCTAGTTTCCACCTCAGCTAGAATCTGTCTTATTCTCTGCCAAAGTCCAGTAGTGCTGACGCTGTCTGTTAAACGGATCGACAGTTTCTCGTACAGACAGCTGTTTATAAACACCTGTCTTTCCAATGATAGTTTTGGTAGTTCTCCAGAACTGTTTTGACGCTTGTACTGAAATTTATTAATCTGATGTTGGCTGACATTTATTTTAAGTCTAAGATTTCTTCAATTGCAGAGATGCTGTTGTTGTTTTGCCAAACCATATCTTTACATATGTACCAGATCTTAGTTGTTTACCAATGACGCTGCCCAAGTGTGTAAACACTGCCGCCTCTTCCAGAGCTTCTCCGTCAAGCGTGTGATTTGGTTGGTGATATATGGCAGCTATATAGGCGTGGCTGTATGAGAGCATTTTGAGGGAAAGAGGACTGCATCCACCATCGACAAACTGAGGACACTTTAAGTGATCATATAGGATACAACCATACAACTACCAAGCTATATATAACCATCACCTTAACTTATTGCATAAATAAGCTGAAAACCGCAAAAATAACCTATCGATCAAAAATCTGTGCGGTGCATAAGTTACAGGAGTGGATGATAGTTATTAATAAAAGAAATGTAGTATGTAATGAACTATAGAGGCATACACAGACATACCACGATATGAATATTTTATTATGAAGATAACATTAAACAGAAGACAGATAGCATTAAACTATATTGTCTACAATTATCATAGTTTTTTGGTTGAAACAAAACAATAATAAAATTCTTTTTATTGTAAGAAGGTTGTTATTGATTTGCTGAGTAATCTGATATTTTACAACACTACATAAATTGCGATACGCCTACTTTTTTCAACATAATTAAAAAAGTGTAAACTATCTCGCAGATTATAAAAACTAATAATTAACTTTAGATGAACATCTTGAAGTCAAACATTAATGATGAAACGCTTATTAATTGGCTGAACTATTTATAAAGATTAATTCAATTCCAATGATTTGTCAGTGACTAAAAATAATGTCAAATTCTTGGATGAGTCAATTGTTGGTGATAATTCCATTTTTATCAAAAACTAATTGTTTAGCTACAGATTATTCTACCATTTCGAGTCCATTATTTTTTTTTCAAACTATAACTACAAACGCTATGAAATTAGGTTACAAACTTTTTCAAAGTAATAAAATGGTATTTCAAACTAACTAATCATGCAAACATACCTAGAAAACTATATTAAACTATATTATACAGAGGCGATAACTAAATAATTTTTAATTTTGCAAATGATTACCTCAGAAAAAATTCATAACCATGAGATGATGATTAGTATCTCTACTGAAACATTGATTAGCCTGGATAAACCAGATCAAAATCTTAGACAATAACACGTAGAAAGTCGAAATAAGGTAACTACTACTAATGAGGTGACATGTGAGAGGACTGAAACCAATCGTTGAACTGCTCATCGAATAATTAACAAACAAATGAAAAATAGGCAAATCTCACTATGATCAGATCAAAATATTAAAGTAAATTTTTCACTGCAAGTTTTGAAGGCAATAATAAGGTTTATACAAACAATTCCTAAACATAATGTCAATTCAGTGAAGGAAATTGACTTTCCGACGATATCATTTATTTAAGCTAGTATAATCGTATTTATAGTCAGCTTTATTTGCTACAATAGTAGTCTACAGTAAAACAGAACAGTGTGAAATAATGATAATAATAGTAATAATAATAAAATAAAGTTGAAATCGTATCATGTCTTGAATTATTTACGAAAATCAAATAATGAAAAGAAAGTTAGCGAAAGGCCTTAAGGTAAGGATAATTGTTCACTTGATATCGATTAAAAACAGTACCACTAATGTTTTGTTTTGTTTTATTGATTTAAATTCAAGTGTCAACGTAACCGCAAAATATGTTTTCGTTAGATATTGCTTCTCTTTTTACAAATATACCCATAACAGTAACAATCTACCTACTATGTGATTCCATTCAAAATAGTAAACTCGATATCAGTGTTCCGATACACTATCTGAAAAAAAACTACTTTGTCGAAGCACTTGTAACGTTTAATTTAAATTTGATAATGAATTCTATGGAGAAAATGACGGCATAGCGATGACGTCACCACTTGTTTATCACAGGAATTCCTTTTCAGTATTTGATTTTCATAACCAATTCATGACATGATACAATTTGAACATGATTTGATTACTAATTCACGCCGTTCTATTTTACTGTAGACTACAATTGTAGCAAATAAAACTAGCTATTAAAAAGGATTGTACCACTTAAATAAATGACACAGTCGAAAAGTAAATTTGCTTCACTGAATTGATTTAATTTTTATTCAATAAATTAGGAATTAGATGTACAAAAATTACAATAAATTATAAACTACAGCAACTGCTACTACACACAAACTTAGATACATATACAAAGAAAGTATTAAAATATCACTAACCGTTTCATTTAATGGCATCTTGGATTCTAAAGCTCTGATACGACTTTTAACAGTATTAGTCATTTCATCGGGTGCTATTTGCTTGACTGCATTCTGTGATTCATTTTCAGACTGTAGATGATTGTGATTTATCTCTGGTTCACAGACAGGTCGAACAAAATTACCGGGTTTCTAAAATTTCCAGTAAATAAGAAAAAAAGGAATGTTTTTGATTAGACGGATAAACTAGCACAAGAACAACAGAATGGTCTGTGGAAAATAATGATGATGATTAGTTCACCTTCATACTGATCAAATTTATTAAAACAACCATTTCAGAATAATGATTAAGGCATATCGAGAAACTACTCATTTCTACAAGATATTCAACTTTATGAACCAAGTGAAATTAGCACGAAAAGTCATAACACTAATTGAGGCAGAAAATTAATTGGATAAATTGTAATTGTGTGACTATTAGTCAAATATAAATTTGTGAATACAATTGGTTCATTCAGTATTACTAATATTGCTTAACAGTAGTAACTTCTTGTTGCGTATGGTTCAAATGTAGGAGATTGATTACAACAATTATTCAAAGCTCATGAACTAAATATCATATTTCAAAGTAATAAGGTATTTTTAAACCAAACAATTTAGGACTATTTGCGAATAACGTCATAGCAAATTCAGATTTTAATCCTTTTATTTTTAGGAATGATGATAATGATATTAGTAAGATAACTGACCTACAATAGGCAAAAAATGTTTATAAGATTTATCATGTAATGACTACTATTATAATTGCGAAATATTTGTGCGCTATATCGATTATAACGAGCTTAGTAGATGAGAATATTTTGGTGTGTAATTGATAATAATGTATAATTTTTAGGATTCAACTAGATCAAATGACTTCCCTTTTTTAAAAAAAAGTAAACCAACACTTCAATATTTAGGATCTTGAACAATGATGTAGCAATTAAAATGGTACATATCAACAGAGCAAAACGTGATTTTATCAACAAAAAAAAAATACCTAAAGAATTATACTTGAATGACTAAGAAAAGTACATAACAACTGCATACTTTTGCATTATTACAATAGATTTTTCTCATATATGTTCAACATGATTAATCAAGTAAACAACACTGTGAGTTCTGAATTGATCATACGTGAACACAATAATAGGAAAATAACGTCAATATTTCATAAACTAAGAAGAATTGAGTAAGGCAAGGGCTTAGTATTTATTTGTTTTATATATGGTGCGTGCAACGAAGATGCTGAAGTGACATCATTTAAACAAATATGATAAAAAATAACTCTTAATATTCAATCAAGCTTTAACAAAAAGTAGCGCAAACTAAAACAGAAGTAGATTACTTTGATCTAATACATGATATATTTATTATATTAATTCCATTGTAGACAAAAAATTAATTAAAGCATCGATTCAATAATAAGTATGATTAAAAGAAAGATTAGCGCCAACTTAATTTATGATATGTAAATGTACAAGTGTCAAAATATTAGTGTAAGCACATTTGCACACGGAAACAAACACACTTAAAGACGTGCACACACACACACACACAAACACTTCAACTGGCATATAAAGATTTAACAATCAAATGAAGAAAGTCATCATATAAGAAAGGTGAATATAGATCATGTTCATTCATTCATTTATTAATTTATTTAAAGATCTCAATAAGCCATTTTATCTCATTTACACATCAATTTTATTGAATTATATAATTAAGACAATTAAATAAATACATTGAAAGAACTGATACAAGTTAGTAGATATTTATAAAATTAGGAGAGAGAGGAGAGCGTTTCATCTAATAAATGTATAAATAAATCATATTTAATTGTGAATACGGAATACAGAACTCTCTGAAAGTCTGAGATGATAAGATCTAATGTATATCGCTCGGTAAATACATAATCAATAAATAGAATTTTGAACGTATATTTAACAGATGTAGGGGAATGGTTTAAAAGTTTGCATGATCACCTGTGTAACATGGTTAGCCAATCAAGTTTACGGTACTTACCCACCCGCCTGAATAGGCTTAATGAAATAATCGATATGTTTAAAGACATAGTAATAACTCTGAATTCATTGGTAAGCATAAACGTACTCTCCTGGACAAGTACCGATATACGATAAGTAAATATAATGAAAAAAAGTAAATATTGACAATAATAATAATAATAATAATAATAATAATAATAATAATAAACTTTAACATACTGATTCGACAGGAGATACTAATTTTGGTGAATTCTGTTGTTTTTGTTGCTGTGACTGCCAAATACTTTGTGATACACAACCTTTTGGAATATCTATGTTTGGATTTGCACGTACATACACAGAGCCCTGTAAAAAATCATTGATCAATAAAATAGTTAATCCCACACTAATATGCCAGGAATATCATTTTTTTAGTAATACTTATGATAAAATTACTAGCAATCACTAAAAAATAATCAGAGGTATTATAGCTTTACGTTGAACAGAAATATAGAAACTGATATTCTGTTAACATATACATTGATTAGGATATGAATATTATCAGACAGAGTATGGCCAGAAAACGAACAGAATACAAACAAATACACACACATCCATATAAGTTTGGATGTATAAATATATATATATATATAAATATATACATATATATATATATATATATATATATATATATATTAAAAGAGGTAGTGATAGCATCATATCATAAAGCAAGTGAGAAGTGCTGTGTGATTGTCTGATATCTGCCTATTTCTGTACATATATATGCATCTGTTACACGTGAACATGGATTAATGTAGTGGAATGAATTCAAAACAAAACTACAGCTACTAGAATATAAAACTCAAGATAAATCTTTACTAAATAATAACAATAATAATAGTAGTAGTAATAAAGATGGCAGAATAATATAGTTTCTATTAGTCCTACAAAAATATTTAGACAAGACTGGAAAAGCAAGTTATAGTGTAGATCGTACGTAAATACCAAATATTCTTGACAGTTTGACCTTAATTATCTAGTAATATAGAGTTAATAATATGCGAAAGAATAATCTCATTAAAAAATCAATAATCTTTCACGAAAAAATATTTAATGAGATTTTCATCGCCTTTTTCAGTAGTGTAATGTAATGGAATGTAATATATCTTTACAAATTACTATTGTGATAATATTACTTAGGAAGATTTAGTTAGTCGTTGAATTGCAAGTTTCGATGGAAACTTTTTGAATAGTCACTGGTGTTTTTAACCAAAAATCTGAAGGTCGGATGATAAACTTGTAAATATATACCAGCTGAGTGGCAAAGTTACTTTTAGTTGCGCTATAAATATTGCTTAATTTCTGCAAACTATTGATCGATACGTTGTTATGCAACGTTATGTGGTAATTTTTTTCATTAAAATGTTACATAGACCGAGAAGAAATTCCAGCTACGAACCATCAGGCAAAACAAATGGAACAGTCTTCATAAATGTTACAGTGAAAAGTTAAAAAAAAGAGATATTAGAGATTAAAAGAAATTCAGTTTATCAATAAGTCTGATACAACTGAATATCATATAAAATTTGTGACGGTACACTTGTGCAAAAAAGTGAGTGAAAATTCTAAAGACACAGAATCAATCAAACACAAAATGATAATTCAAAACTAACTGTAGGTATAACTTCATCATCTGGTTTATAACCAATGGACGGTCGAGATTTAGAGATACTTCCTGTTAGATTTTGAAGTTTGATAATAATTTCGTTCCAATCTAAATCTGCTTCAGTTCTTGCGTTGATCGTAACATGGACTGTCTATTATGAAAATACGTTTAAAAAGAAACGTAATGAAGTAATAAACATTCTAATGATTTAATTACTTTATAAGAGAATTTAAGAACAGATTATACAACTAAGTGTATAGAAACTCTATACAGAAAAACGCCAGTATCAAGTTCTCAAAAATAAACAAAAAAGGAGATTTCGGAAGGCAAGTTTCAGTTTGAAATCATGAATCGATCAATCTTAGACCACAATTAGAAACCTGGAAGTACTGAACAGCCGTTTTCTTCTGGCATAGGACTCATCAGCAGTGCGCATCCACGCCTCAAAGGATCCGAACCTAGGACCTTCGGTCTTGCTAGCGAATGCCTAACCTCTGGACCAATGAGTTGGTATCTAACGGTGTTAATGTCTAACTTCGATCGATTCACAGTCTTGCTCAACCTCATACACTGTTTTCGGTGAGCACTGCTTCACACCCGATCAGGGTTGAACTCTACTGGTCAGGACTTCACACAGGCACTCGGAGAAGATTCTTTACAGAGCTAGTCACTAGTGAGCCAGGTAATTTGCATTATGGGGTTGTGGAGATTGTTGAGTTATTTTTTTGATATCATGAACCGATCAATGTTAAACCACCATTGGAAACCTGGAAGCACTGGACGGCGTCCGCGCGCAAGACTTCTATTCCTGCAAGGTACGGGATTCGTGGACGCGCACTGTTGGTGAGTCCTATGCCAGGATAAAAAACGGTCGTCTAGTGCTCACAGGTTTCTAATGGTGGTTTAACATTGATCGATTCAAGATTTTAGAAAAGTAACTCAACAATCTCCACAACCCTATAACGCAAGTTTCCGTTTGTTTTAATTTGAGGAACCTTAGAAAGTCAGAATACTTATTTTTTAACACAAAGATTAAAAGCTAATTCACTAAGGGTGAAATATAAAGTAACATTTTTTTAATTTATCGGTCTAGACGTGTTAAAATCAGCCGTAAAACTATGAATTTCAACCTTGACACATCTGCTACTGTGTGAACCTACAAATATTTGGAGTTTACGTGTATTAGAATTCCTGTTGATGTTAATATTATGAAAATTATTATATCCAGCTATTATTGCTGATAAATTAATTAGGACTTTTTTCATTGACCTCTTACGATGCCAAATCTTTTCAAAGACTTAAAATAGTACGGAAAGGATGGGGCAAAGAAAATATTCATGGCTATTTGCTTATAAAACAGGGTTAAAAATGAACCACCTACAACTGCAGTCACCTCGATAAACCTAATAAATACCACATAAAATGATACGGTATGCACATCTATTTTCTAACAGACTTTCAATAACCGTAGGGTATTCTTCAATAAAGAAAGTTACACCCAAGAATATCATATGATTTTACGGTTTTAAGGGCTTTAATTCGAAAAATTTGAGCATTATTAGTCCCTTCTTGATTTGGAGCTTGAACTTATGTGAAATAATAATGAATCTGTTAGAGTAACATGTCTTCTTTAACTCAACTGACTCATATATTTTGAATGCAGTTTTAATATGATCTACTTAAAAAACCGAAGTCCAAAGTATAATAACCTCCCACATAAAATGACTTTCAATTTTATGAAAGGTTTATTCATTTTTCTGCAGACCGTAGCTGCTACCTTGACGTGGTGGCTGGGTTTGCCTATCGTGATGAACCAACCGAGCTATATTGGCTGGAACATATGTTCCTTTAGCTTCTACCATGCCAGACAGGTAGATTGGAGAATGGCGTGACTAGAAGCACCAACTCAAGGTCTGAGATCGAAATGGTACTGCTGACTGTAGAGTGGTTTGACTGCAGTAATGTGTTTCCCTCGGACAACCAGCATGTGCAGCGATGCTGCCTTCTTAAAAGGAAGGAGGGAGTTAGAAAATGTCGACCTTGAAAATGCCGCGCCTCACCTCACCCCACAGATTTCCGTCTCCGGCTGAGAATCTATTTAGAGAACGGAGCTAACACTTCCATAACATTCCATAAAAAGGCTGTGCGTGTCCGGCCTTAAACAGTTGTCCCTTGGGCTCTCCGGTCACGCTTCCGCGTCGATCAGACCAACGCTAATCCGATTTTCTCTTTATGTTGCTTAAGCAATAACCTCCAAACCTTATACCAAATAAGGATTTAGAATGTTGTGCCAACAATTTATGCTGCGTCTCCGAAACGCGCATACAGGATCTGAGCATAGTGATTAATTAGACTTCACCTTGTGCAGATAAAAAACAACTCGGTTCACACTTCATGTATCTGGAAGCCCTGATGCTGTTCTCCATGGCCTCGCTGATGTAGGTATAGCATTGAGTCCTTAGGCAGAATTTGCTCTCTTAGACTGGATCCCAGCAGATCCCAGTAGTCGCCTATGTGCTGTCCGACTAAACGGGACAGTAAGGACACGTAAAGATAGGAAAAATCGCCGTGCTGTTACGGGTATGAGGGCGGATGACACTCGCACAAATGCTACTTAAGGGAGGAAATAAAAATAAAATATGACAAACTCACTCGGCATAACCGTTTCACACAGTCAATATGTCTAGCACAAGCTATTTTGAAGCTCTCAGACGACGCCTCTCCTTGCTAGTCAACAAGAAATTTCAAAATAGGAGAACCAGTTTTAAAACAAAGTTTAAAATAAGTGCGAGAAAAATGCTAGGGTAAAGAAAACTGTTGTATCACTCGTAGAACTATGTGTATCAGTTACAAATTGGATGTAAAACGTAAATTCAAAACCGACTAATAGGGATATTCACAAAAAAACTTGTCAATAAGTTCTTTAAAACTAATTCGCCACAAAAATAGCCAATTGTAAAGTACGTGCCAAGAAGCACATTTGTCCCATTGAAATCATACCAAAGGTTTAGTATTTCTATCGTTACTAAAAACTTATAATGTGATTACATATACTGTATCACTCAGGAAACACTAGTGACAAAAATAATGTAAGGCTTTAATTTCAATCGAAAACTACCTAGTACGAAAACATTGCAAAGATGTCACACGATGTGGCCAAGGTACGACTAATCTGTACCAAACAAATGGACGCTTCCCGTAAACACAGGAACACCACTCTGTAATGAGAGGCTTAGCGGCGGACTGGATAAAAAGCCTAGATTTGATTATTTTTATCTCCGAGCTTCGATCTTTCTTGATTAGTTTAACGTTTGAGATGTAATAGATTATAATTTCAGATCGTTACCTGAATGAAGAAATACTACTCTAAATGATAAGAACTTTATTTAAAAGTCACACGGAAGTAAGTCATGAAGAAATTTGAATGATATATATCCCCACATTTTGCCAACTTATGTTATACGCATATAATAGGTAAGCACACCATACTGAAAATAAACTTTTGTTTCCTAGACCCACCAAGACCAAGTAGCTATCACTAGTCGAAACCACTGCGTGCTGTCATGCAATAGCTTTTAAGAACTGTAAGACCATATGGTTCCTACATAAAGCTTTTAGCCACGTTAATGTTAAGACATTAAATGAAAAACTTTTATACCCCAAGACTAATAAGTCATGCATAGACCTATCCTCAAAGTGCAGCCGATAGGGAGATGTAACCATATGCACCTTACAGATAAGTGACTGGTTACACAGGATTATTAATTGCAAACACTTGAGTGGATGAAAATCCGAGTAGCGAAAACTTTGTCATTATCTAAATTGCTATTTCATGTTTGCGATTCACTTCTGAACTACCCAATTACGTTATCTGCATTACTAGTGGACGGATGTAGGACATTTTCTTAGGCGCAAACCAGATAGTTAAAATTAATGACCCCACAGAGTGTAGTCAAATATTAAGTAGCAAAAATTCAACCACAATATCGTGATTCTACAGGACAGACACGCTTACCCATACAATCAATACAAATTTTGCAGGTGTCATAGATTCAACACGAATAAAACCATAAAGAACTTTTCCAGGAGAGAACTCATTTAGAAACTGATTCAAATCATGACCTGGCAAATAAAAGATATATTATATACACAAGAATAAGCTTACCTTGATTTTTAACGTCTAGTGTATGGGTTAATCCCATATAACCAAAGATTACCCTGAAATCATAAACATATTAATTGACTTTTACCATGACCATTTTCCTTCCAGAACACAATTAACTGATGTACAAATAGCCTGTCCATTGGTATTCAAGTCAATCATACCGAACAGCAACTACACCTGTAACCTTGAAAAGAAACTAGACACAAATCTTGGCCAAACTGCCAGATAGCGTGGATAAACTGAATGGCTTATGAATTTTTGTGTTTTCCAATAACAGTGGTCGTGTACGATTTCACTTGAGAATCTGTTCGCTGAAACATTTTGAAATAATTTTTATCATACAATTGGTTGAATAAGTGTCTTTGCGTAATAGTAACTTTTCCTTAATTAGTATTTATGAATAAAACTGAAGGAAGCGATATGGATAGTTAAGGTTTTGAAGCTAATTTAGGTTTAGAATGTTGCGCATTGTACTAGAAGACCACCCTATATGAAAAATATCAGCAAACCTGATCAAAATTAGGGAGATATTCTTCCGTTGTAAAACGAAGCACTGTAAAGAAAACATGTTGCAAAGTCTTTTTCCTTGTCACTGAGAAGTTGTAAAACTTTTGTGTCTATGCTAAAGCAGACTGAAAATACTTGGGAATTTGCGACGAACTGTCTACATTTGGTTTAAATTTACGATGTTCATACTTAGAGCAAAATGAACAGATGCACGGAAAATTATCTGCTTATAGCCCAAGCCTACACTATGCTCTACTTTATCGCTAGCAGACAGACTTTTCTGCATCTGAAGAGTGTACTCAAACCAATTTTATGAAGAGAACGCAATTGGTTCGATAGAAACAATCATTATTAAAACCAACTGTACTAGTGATTATTTAACCGTGCTTTTTGTTTATAACACTCTGCACGCGCAAACGTCCGGTTGTACGGCTGTTATTTCACCCCTCTTTTCTGGCACGATTTCGGTATTCTTTTGATGCCACGAAATCGCCAGAAATACATTCTTTACTATATAATCACCTTTCTTCTCGGTGACGGGCCCGTAGTTATAATTCAGCGGTGATCATAGCAAATCGCGACTCGATCCACAACAAAAATTGGTCAGTGACGACCTTGGACGCGAATTAACTGCTGCAAAGTCTGCCAAAACAGTCAACTGCCATGAGTCTATTAATTATCTGTCCAGATTTATTAACTTTTGTTATTGCATATATCATTTCAAAACTTTTGAATATAAACAATACTTGCAAAAACTTCTCGAAATGGTGGATAGCTGTGATATAATTGATTTCGAGATGCAGATCATTGCGTTTTCACCTGTCTCCTTTCTGTCAATCCAGATTGCTCGTTTATTTTCTGTGCCCGATTTCGGGCTAACGCAAGGTATGTAGGATTTAATTTGTCCTACAGATGTAATTCCAAAACGTAAACGCAAATACCGCCGCTGACGGATGCAAGAGTAAATCAGAACCATATAAACTTGGGTTTAAACTGTATCTGTTTCTAATAAAAAAAACGATTAAATTAGTACAATAAATAAGGAAATTACAATTATCAAGCAGGGTGAGCAAACGTATCGGACAGTATAGCGTGTCTTTAGAAAATGAATAAAAAACATGAGTCACATCTATATAAAGTAAAATAATAACATCCTTCAATCGACAATTCATTCACAACAAAGAACGTTTATAGACCGGTCAGACTAGATAACGTGGTGAGCGCTTAACCAATCTGATTGGTTAGTTATGACATAACTACAATTAGTTATAAAATAACTAACAAGATACCTAGTGGCCACAGATGCCGACGTTTCTGTCTTATTGTCTGGTAGCAGCGCCTGCCGAGCTACGATCCTTCGACTACGCCAAGGCATTGCATCTGGCTGGGGAATTTTTTCTCACCACAGAGCAGCGATTTTATTTATATCAGATAACGTCCAACGTCCATCTGCGTAGATCTGAACACTGCCTCCAGTGTGAACTCGAATATAACATCGACAGGTCTCTCTCCCTCGAGAGTTATATACCTGTCAATATGTTTGCATACGAGTAGATTCGGTAATAAAGCCCTAGCAACAGCCTCACGAACGATCTTTTCATGTGATCCCTCATCACGTAAAGAGCTACAAGGTTGGTCGACACGGTCAGAATAGATCGTCTCAAACCAGCACATGTCGATGACAAGGACCTGCCCTTAGATCAAGGTCCAATGCTCGACCCGTCCAACTTACTAGCGAGACCCCTATTTCTCCTTCTGATCACACGCTAGATATATCAGAGATCGCATTCTCACGTCATAGTCAGCAGCGCGCGTCATCTTCACCGTCTACTGATGAGGCCTCAGTCTCAAATCCAGACCATCAGACCACGTCGACCTTGACTTCCGAAGAGGTTACAGTCTCAGGCTCTCATGTCTATGGTGGCCGAGTACATCTAAGTGTACGCTTTCGCTACTAGTCTCCGTAAGCACTTTTATGTTACTACTGACAACTTATGACTCGTAATCAATGAATATTTCCACTCTGAAACTGAAAGGTCAATTAACGATGCTGCTTGCTATTACTGTGGATTAAGTGCTGATTTTATAGGCAGTCAAGATTGTTTAAAGACTTATAAGTGTATGGATCCAATCCACTTCTTACTGTAACTGAGCACAAGGTTTCTGAAATTTGTAGCCAGAAAAGTTACACAGCACTGCCTCATACCTGATGTTGCTCCGCCATGAGTACCCGAAATCACGTCTTTAGGACTGATTCAACATTACCTATCGATTGTAAGTGACAAAATTCAACATTTCCCCACTGCATTTCGTTTTATGCCCTCATGAATCCTCACAAACTTGCTGGACACCTCAGACGTAAACATGATATTTTTTATGGCTTTACTTTCTCACTGGCGCCTGTTAATCTCGATGATTCACAAGCCACTGACCAGTATTCTCCGGCCTCGGTTTTCAGTTCTGTCCAATTTTTAATCATTCATCTCACGTCAGTCTCCATTCCTCGACATAATGTATTCCCCGAACTACCTCTTTTCCTTTAGTCTTGGATTTTCCGAGTGAGGGCCTGTCTAGAGACGCTTTTCGGTGTTTTTCGCAGAGTGTCCTATCTACCTCCAGCTCCTCTTCCTGATTTCTTTCTTCGCTGAAATCTAACTTGTTCGCTCCAACAATAGGTTTTTGATGATGGTACCTGGCCAACGGATCAGAAGTATATTGCCTGGACAATTGTTGGTGAATATTTTCAACTTTTGGATGATGGCTTTTTTGATTTTACTAATCCCCCCCCCGATATAGTAGAACTGTCCTGATATTTCTATTGAAACTTGTGGCTTTGGTGTTGGCTGAGAGTTGTTTCGTGTTCCAGACGTTGTTCATCTGTAGAAATGCAGCTCGTCAATGATGCTGCTTAGAAATGTAAAGGCCTTTACATCTTCCAAGGCATCTCGATCAAGAGTCATTTGGTTGGCGCATGTTGTGTTGTACAGCAGAATCTACACTGGTCTTCTTCTCCTGCAATTGTTGTTGCGTGTGCGATAGAAGAGCTAGGTCATCTGCGAAGTCCGAATCGTCCAGCTGCATCATAACTGTCTACTGGATACCGTGCTTCCCTCCAGATGCTGACGTCTTCATAATCCTGTCGATCACCAGGAGAAAGAGAAAGGGTGAGAGTAATCAACCTTGCCTGAAATCGGTCTTCACCTCGAAAGAGTCTGTTAGCTGTCCTTCGTGTACGATTTTGCATTTGAATCCATCAAAAGAATTCCGTATGATTTTGAATATTTTCTCAGGCACACCGCAATGTCGGAGAAGTCTCCACAGTGTTTTCCTATCCACGCTCTCGAATGCTTTCTCGTAGTCGATGAAAATGATGTACAGTGGTGAGTTCCATTCTATTGATTGTTCCACAACGGTCCGTAATGCTACAGTTTGGTCGGTACACGAGTGATCCATACGAAATCCAACCTTTTGATCTCGAAGTTGTGCGGGTGTCTATGAAGACCTTCATTCTGTTTAACAATACCCTGTTGAAGACTTTGCCTGGTATTGAAAGAAGAGTGATGCCTCTGTAGTTCTCAGACTTGCTGAAATAACTTTGATTAGGACGAACAGTTGAATATGCTGTAAAAAATCTTCCATTGAATTTCTCTTTATTGTTCTTACGCTAACCCCCTTTAGTTGGTGACCACCCGATTCGGATATGCTCGAATTATTGTATGTGCTATGAAATAAACTTCCCCTTCACTTTACATATATACATATACAAGGGAACTCCGTTTGTGAGACGGCGGTAATACGAAGCCGAATACGGTTTCGGCTGGATATGCTTCCTTCAAACAATCGTTCATTCATACAGACGAAAAGCGTACAAGAGAATTCAAGCAAACAAATCTGTGTGATTGGATGTGGCTCTGTATTTATAGTCAAAAGAAAATTAGCCAGACCAGAGATGAGAGCATAAGCACGCACACATATTTGAATAACAACAACCAAAGTATGGGCGAATGAGTAAGAAGGTCAATATTAACTAAGGAAGGATAGACCATTCAATTTGTCAAAAGGTTGGGGCACGCCCTGCCGCTCGGCATAAAAGTAAACAAATCGCTACATGTTTTCTCGGTTGTGGTAACAAGAAGCAAAATCTTGTTTCAGGTGGATGAGTTTATTTCATGCAGTCGTTTATGTAAGCATACACAAGAATGCACAGAGTGAAAGCAAAGCCAAGTGAAGGTGAATGAGCCAACTCACTTTGATAGGCGAATCCTCCGATTCCTACTAACATTATTAGGTCGCGACTTTGAGATGCTAGCCGCAACATTTGAGTTCGCATTATTATCTTCCTGTCTTTCACAGCACTTTAGCTTTTATTACTAGTAGACTGATAAATTGAAAACCTGTAGATTCTGCTCAACTACTGTCGATCACAAAGAACTCAAACTTCCTGTATCATTGTGAGTTCCTTCTTGTTCTCGAGGGACGATAACCTCAATCGATCCATGTCCGCGGGGCAGAACATTCTGGTTGCTTGCGACCCCTTACGACATAGCAGGATGTACCCTATCAATGATATTGATGTCACTTTTCCTTGTTAACCTCATCTACGACTCATGTTTGTAACCTCGCACTAGTTTCAGTTCACACCAAGAAATACTGTTACAGGCAGATCTAGATAATTAAGGTGTAAAGTGCTCACTCATGACT